TGGTCACAACTGGATTTAGCTCCATTCACCTAATGGGATGTGCCGGTTCCCACAGAACAGGGCCTCTACCATAAGAGCCCAGTGTTCCTCAGTTTCCCCATCCATGTTGGGGTGGGACAAGTAAAGGTGTGGAGTCAACACCACCCAAAGCAGAAAGTCATCTGGTAGCTGTAAACCTGGGGCTGAAGCAGTCCTGTAGGAATGCGTCTCTTGGGAAAGAAGTGTCTGTGGGACCTCTTAAAAGACAGAAAAAAGAAAGAAAGAAAAAAATGGATGAGGAAAGCATCTTGATGCCCAAGCCCAGCTCTTGGTATTCGGGTTTTGTTATTTTTAACAATTATTTGGAACTTGCAGCAGTTTTGGATTGACTTAGGTCAGGGACTGTGGTCTGTGCCTGTCCTTGAGCTGCAGAGCAACCCCCAAGGTCCAGCCCTTGGTCCCTAAATAACAACAGGAAACAAATGCTTCATATTAGCCAAGAGCTGCTTCTCTCCCTGTGCTGACTCTTGGCTGAGCTCTCTGCTCCCAAGCCTTTGGGACACGAGCTCTGGTAACCTGGAGCTGGGTAGTTGTTTGTCACCAGGGGATGCATCTGAGGAGACAGAAGCAGATGAAAACCATGCCAAATGCAGCCCTCTCTTCCCTCCTCTTCTTTTGGGTCCAGAAATCGCTGCCTTAGACAGTTGCAATGCAAGCACTCTCTGCTGCCATCTGCTACTTGCTGAGGTTAATGCCCTTTACACTAAGCTGCCTTGAGTAAAAATAAACTCTGCTGCTGTGCTTTATCACCAAAGCGCAAAGCTGAAGCAGCGAGTTCTCAGTTAACCATTAACACTCAAACCTGATTATTTTTCCATCTCTCCAGCTGCCGGTTTTAAATGAATCCATTAGTTCAGCGCTGGGTACCAGTGCTGCTTTGATTGCTCATTGCGGCTGTGTCCCTACTGCTTCTGTGCTATTTCCTGGCAGGACACAGAAGCTGACTTTCCAACTTGCCTTACGATTGTTAATTTTCATTAGTCCTATGGAAACAGGGCTGCCTGCTAACCGCAGCGCTGCGCTAAGTGCTTTGCAATGGGCTGTCTAAACTGTTTGCCCTCTTCTCCGCTGGGATCCAGAAGACGATAATTACCTCATGAAGATCATTGTCTGTGCTGCCTCTTAATGGTCTGGTGTGGTTGGAGCTGTTGTTTTATTACATGCTGGAAACACATTGGAATTGGTCTTCAAATAGCAAAAATGCTTTGGTTTTCTATGGGCGCAGTCCTGTAAGGGTTTATGTTCAATTTCCTGACATCTGAATTGTTGCTCCTTGGAGTTGTTAAGATGCAAACTTCCACCTTTTGAAACAACCTTCTTGATCTGCCAGCTTGCTTGATGGGTCATGGGCTTTGGTGTCCTGATTTCATGCCAAGAACTGCTCAGGAGCGATGATGAACTCCAGATAATCTGAGGGGTTTTTAGCATTTTGCTGCACAGCGTTTTGCTGTGAATGAGGTTTTGCCACTCTGCTCAGCAGAATGAGCAACTGTTAAAATTTTCATAAGAAGTATCTTATGTCTTTTGAATTTCACTCTAGTGGATTACATTAGCGAGGAAATATTTGTGTGGTTTTTTTCCCCCCTTTGACTAATTTTATCTGTTTTCTAGGAATATTCTTTACTCTGTTTTTTCCCATTGAAGTTTCCCCTTCTTGCTTCAGACAGGTGGGAAGCAACTTGGCTGTTGTAGGCAAGTTTGTCTCAAAGCTGAATCCCAAATATTTACCTGCTAAATGTTGCATGCACTTAACAGCCGTGCGTTTACAGACTGTGTGCTCATCCCCAAGATAAATAGGAAACTGAGGCTTTTCATATCAGTTCAGTTATTCCAGTTGTATGCACCTAGCTTTGAAGAAAAGATTTTCTTGAGGTCAGTTTGCCATGCAAATGAATTGCGCAGGGTTGGTGCAAAATGATGTGGAAAAGTTGGTGGCATAATACATTTTAGCTTATGAGTGTTTTTGACGGGTGGTTTAATGGGGTTTTGGATGCAGTGTGGGATTTTTTGCTCCTGTCCTCCAGGTCTGCTTACATGTGGCAGTAGCTTTCTGAAAAAAGCAGATTGAGACAATTCTGCTTTCTTTTAGTCTAAATCAAATCATCAACATTTAAAATAAATTAAAAAATAAAATAAAAAAATGAAAACCAACAACAATTGAAAATACACAAAGAAATTTCTCTGTTCAAATGAATCTTTTAGCATCTGGATCAAAATGTAGACTCAAGCTCAAGCTTTCCCGAGCTCTGTCCAGTGGGACTCGCCTCTCCCACCAGCACAGGCTGCAGGGCAATGTAAGCACCTAATTTTGGGGCTGAAGGCTGTGATGCTGGTTGCTGCATGGTATGAGGGGCATCAAGAAGGACATGGCATGCAGCCCCCATGGCTTTTACCCTGGAGATAACGCCCTGCTGAGCCCATGCAGCTCCCGCAGCGCTGATGTCCCTGCGCTTAACTCCTTCCAGTCTGCGACGAGCACTCGGACTACAAGGACGCCAAGCTGCTGTACCGCTTCCGCAAGGACGACGGGACCTTCCCCCTCAGCAAGGACGTGAAGGTGTTCATGAGAGGGCAGAGTCTTTATGAGAAGTACGTGAGTCCTTGCCCTGCAAAACAACGCTCGGCAAGCTGGGAGTGTGGGCTGCTGGCTGCGCTTGCTGGGGATGCTCCACAGCTGGGAGCCAGGGCTGCGGCTGGCTTTTCTCTTCTTTCTCTGTACCCTGTGCTGTAGCATCAGGAAATGGCCTCAGATTGCACCATGGGAGGTTTAGATTGGATGTTAGGAAAAAATTATTTACTGAAAGAGTGCTCAAGCCTATCTGCAAGATTTGTAGTGAAAAAGCTAACTCTGAGACAGTGAACTCCATCCACCTCCAAGCGTTTAGTTTTCTTTGTGTTGATTTTTTTTTTCCAGTTCTAAATCCAAGCCATCTTCCCAAGCTCCTCATGGATAATTTTACTAGACTGGGTTCAACCACAGGACCCCCTTCTGACCCCCTTTTCTTTATCAGCCTCTTCACATCTTTTCTGTCCTTAAACCCTAGCAGTCAGATTCACAAACTGGCAGAGGGAGAAGTCCATCGGCCGGGCAGGCAGTGATTTTGGGTGTCTGCCTGCCCTTCTGGCTGACGTGCACTCCTTTTACTTGGCTTTTGCTCCTCAGTGGTGGCCATGGGATGGGAGAGCATCCAGCGCATCTCATGGCTGAGCCTGCTGCACCCTCTGGTGGAGACGCTGGATTTAGCTCTCACAGATACTGCAAACTGAATATGTGTTCACTGAAACACACCTTCTCTGTCAACTTGAACTATTTGCCATTTGTTGAATGCATCTGGTCGCTTGTTTGCCTTTCCCCTGCGGTCATTACCAGAGGTCACAGCTGAACTGGTTTTGCTGGAGCTGCTTCCTCTGCTGTGATGAAGATTTACAAAGCTGCCTGACTGCAGCTTTCTGTTTCTCCCTCCCTTCTCACTGCTCCCAAGCAGCAATATTTTGGCTGTGACGCTTTGCCCGCTTCTCTTGGCCTTGCTTTGGCTGGCTGCAGCTCCCACAGGGGATGTCCAGCATCACGGGAGCCTTGTCCCACCTCTGTGCCAGGCTGGTGAGCATGGAAGAGTCAATCCTGAAGGTGAGAGAGGAGAACTCGGTCAAGTACCAGAGGACTTTCCTGGGCTGCGAAATGATCGACTGGCTCGTCCAGGAGGGAGAAGCGGAGAACCGAAAGGAAGCGGTGGAGCTGGGACGGGCGCTGCTGGAGCATGGGATCATTCAGCATGGTGAGCCGGGATGGAAAGTGAGAGAGGAGTGCAGTTGTCAGGGCTGTGCTAGGAACAAATCCCCATTCATGTCACGCAACAAGTGCTGGTCAAGTGCCCACTTGGAGATGGCAATGGGGCCTTTTAGTTCTATGTTTGGAGCCGGTGACCTTTGAAACCGGAGCCATCTTCCACCACCCACAAAGGCTCCGAGTTGAAATCTGAGCTGTTGCTCTTCAGTTCTTCAAAGCCTCTGGCTGCAGGGCTGGGATCCACCCCTGGGTTTGGAGGGCTGGGTTGTGAGGATGTAATGCTCAGCTCCGCTTGGCTGGAGATCATACCCATCTGCAGGGATTAAACTTCCGATGCAGAAGGCAGGGAGACATCTGAGGGTCTTGGGACAGGGCAGGTGGAGGTCTGTGACTCAGTGGTGCACCCCTGGGAGATGGCATCTCTTGGGGAGGTGGCCCCACTGTTCCTCATTTCCTACGAGTAGCATTCTCAGTCTGAAAAACTGCAGTAGGACACATGGGCATTAAATCAATTTATCTGGGTCTCTCAGTACATTTACTGTATGATTTTCACACCCCCTCAGCCTCTCCCTTCTCCCCTGTTCTCTCCTAGTCTCCAACAGGCATCACTTCTTTGACAGTGACATCCTCTACCAATTCTGGATCAACTTTCGGCGGAGACGCCGTCTCACGGAGTTACTCAATGAGAACTCTTCTCGTGCCCTCTCTGAGAGCCCGGACAGCCCCTTCTGTCTTCGCAAGCTCAACCCGGACCCAGGCAACACCAGCTTTCTCTCTGGTAACTGTGGATGTGTTTGTGGTGGGATGTGAAAGCCAGGATTACCTTACCAAAGTGTTCCAGAGGCAAGGGTGTTGCTCTAACAGAGTGTAGGGTGTTCCTCCAGGCCTCCTGTGAAGTGACCACCCATCCCACTGGTTTGTGGTGGATGTCATGATGCAGTGACAGTCTCCATCCCAGGAAAATAACTCAACTTTCCATCAGCTCAGCTCTGGACCTTTCTTTGAAGCTAGTTTTATTCTTTCTACACTCAAATGCCATCTCCAGTGCATGCTTACCTTTCAGATGTGAGTTAGGCTGGTGGGAGAAGTTTGTTACTTTAAACTAGTTTATTCCTTCCTTGGGTAATTGTAATTTCTGCCTCTTTCAGTCCAGACCAACAAGGAGATCAAAATTGTCTCAGCAGTTCGAAGGAGCAGCATCACTTCCCTCGCTGGAAACTCCAACCCCTACTTCAGCACAACTCCTACGTTGGTATTCCCTCCTGTGGCCGAGTGCAACCCCAAATCAGGTCTGGGCCTCTGCATTGCCCTGTCATTGCACAGGAAACCTCTGTTCCTTCAGGGCATGGGTTAGCTCCAAACCTGTTCCTTGGTGACTTGCACGAGGAGAGGGTCAGCCTCACCTCTGAGTCTTGATTTGAGAAGTTCTGCAAGTGTTTTGAAAAATATTAAGGTGAACTCAAAGGTTTCCATGTGCAGTAACTGTGGCTGGGTCTAACATCTGTTTTGCAGCCCATGGTAATCCCCAGACTGCCTTGTTATGCACTTTACTGTAGGAAACCCTTGATTCTGATAGGATCTGTCACCTTCTGCTCTAGTGTTAAAGCGACCCGTCACCAATGAAGAGCTCCTGTCCCCGGGGGCCCCCTACGTCAAGAAAACACTCACTGTAAGTGACCATAGGGAATGGTATTGCCAACCCAGCAGTGCTGAGCTCCCTGCTCTCTGACAGCTTTCTGGCTGCTGCTCTGACCTCTGCATGTTGAAATTTGATTGCATGTCACATCACCACAGCTCCTTCTTGGTGAGTCTCAGCAGGTCGATGTCTGCAGATATTCTTGTGGATGAAAACGTGTGCCACCTCTGCTTTAGTTTAATGTGTATCAAAGGGCTAGAACAGGAAAGAGCATGTTTTCTGTACAGAAAAGCTCGCTTTTATGTTTCATCCATCTATGCAAACTGTAGAATCGGTCAGGGCTTGTGACAGCTGAGGCTTTGACACACATCCCCTGTGCCACGCAGATGTCACCTTTCTGCATGGCTTCATGCGTCTTTTGGGTTCCTGCTGCAGATCAGCTAAGCTGATGTGATCCACCAGCATCTGATGGAGCATCCAAGGGCCACTCTTGCCTTCCTTTCAGTGGGCTTTTTTTCACGGACGACATCAACACACTGAAAACCTCCAGGATTCTGCAGACAACCTGAGTTTTGGGCTTTTGCTTTACTGTTTATTTCTAAAGCTGCAGGACCGGTCAAGGCAGGGCTGGTGGGTGCTGGGTGTTTATGTTGCGAGGCGGTTCCTGCCCTGCGGATCCTGTCACGCTTACTTATTTTTGTGTAAAACTTCTCAGCCCTGTCCTGCCCGCCTCTGAAAGGGGAATCTCACAGTGGCCAGTTCAGGAAGCGTGAGGGCTGCCTTGCCATACTGGTTTGACACAATTGGGGCTACAGAAGAGCTGTGGATCAGGTTCCCAAATTAACTGTGCTGTAGAAACTGGTGGGAAGGAGTAAGAAAAGTAAAGCTGGCGCTTAGCGTGGCATGTATGAGGACGTGCTGTTCATTCTCCTCCTGAATGCTCTTGCCCTGCCCTTCAACTCTGCCAGCCTGGGCCTTTCATGGCTCATTTCCTTCTGCTTAGCTCTGCAGTTGCTGTTATTTATTTATATGGGTAATGTGCAAAGTCCTTTGGGAATTCCTTTTCTCTTTTAGTCGCATCAGATGGCCGCAGTATTACAGCAAACTGCTCTGACAGGCGGAGATCAGAGTGGGAAAAATTAAGAGTGGCCACTTCCACCCTGGAAATGTGCTCCTGTGCCAAGGAAAAGGCACCTTGTGCATGCTCTGGAAATGTTATCCACGTGTTCTTGGTGCATGCCTTGCCCTGCTGCTTCATAGTGCTCTTCTGCACTTGCTGGCAGGGAATATTAATCAGAAAGCAGCTTTGCAGAGAGGAAATAATCTCTGGTTCTGTACTGCACTTGATACATAGCCCAAAAATATTCCGTTATGCTCTCCTGAATGATGGTAGTGAGGAAAATGATGGTAGTTGGAGGAAATCTGGAGGACTCGGTGTTTCTTAAAAAAATCTGTGTTTTACCAAACAAGGGTAAAACTGAATAGGGCAAGGAGAGGTATTACCTACACCTGCAGACAGAGCAATAAGCAGTCTGGAAGGGCAAAGCTGGATTGGCAGTTGATGCCTGTTCAAAAATCCCTCACAAAACAGAGTGGAAACAAGGACACTCTCTGAGACACTGGCACAGGTGGATGAAAAGATCTGCCAGAATGAAAGTGGAGAGACAGAGACTCACCTTGAAACCAATATTGCCAAGAGGAATTCATCCCCAGCTGCCATGCTTGGAGTTATCAGAGATTTGTAACTGCAGAGATATGGAAAGCTCCCCCGTGCCCAAGGATGCTCTCCTTCCACCTGGGAGGCTGAGAAAGGTCCCTGGGGTGACACAGAGTATTGCTAATGGAGATGGAAATAGAGCATAAGGTCCTTTTGTCTCACTGGTGGTCAGAGGAGGCTTGAGGCAAACCCTCTCTTTCTTTCCCACCCATGGCAGAGATGGGGATGGTGAGCAGAGCTGTTCACATCACTGGAAACTGCTGCAGCATCTCCTCTATCCACCCCATTCCTTGTTGTTTTTAAAACCCTTTTCTTCTGGTTGTAGATTGTGGGGGATGCAGTGGGCTGGGGGTTTGTGGTCCGAGGAGGAAGACCTTGCCACATCCAGGCAGTGGACCCAGGAGGACCTGCTGCTGCTGCGGGGATGAAGGTACTTCCAGCAGAGCTCTTCACATCACTGGAAACTGTTGTATCTCCTCTATCCACCCCATTCCTTGTTGTTTTTAAAACCCTTTTCTTCTGGTTGTAGATTGTGGGGGATGCAGTGGGCTGGGGGTTTGTGGTCCGAGGAGGAAGACCTTGCCACATCCAGGCAGTGGACCCAGGAGGACCTGCTGCTGCTGCGGGGATGAAGGTACTTCCTACTCATGGTGATGTGACAAGAGGCAGGACTGGGGTCCTGCTCAAGCTTTTCAGGCTGAACACATCTTCGAAACTGCCAAAACTGTTTGAGCTACTAAAAAAACCAAAGTAGAGAATTCCTAGTTCAGCTCCAGTAACTGGAAATAACCCCAGTGAAGCAGGGATGGAGCAGACCTTTATCCTGAATCACCTGCTCCCAAGATATAACACGTTCTGTGTTTCTCTGCTATTAACAGTGCAGTTCTGCATGAAGTTCTTTTCCATGTACATAAAACCTTGATAACTGTAGACTGATGCCTTGTTTGGTTTATCCAGTAACTTCCAGTATTTCCAGCCCAAGTGCAATGAGCTGAGGTCTTGACGCTCATTTCAGACCCAGGCATGTATGGGGCTTATGTGTAGAGCTTTAGTCATGAATGAAAGAAATGTTGAGTTTCACAGTTCCCTATGAAAGCCCAGCAGTGAGTGAGTAATTTCTACCAGCTGATGTAAGGCTAAAGTCACATGGATGTTTGAAATAATGGGAATCTTCAGAGGCAGAGTGTGGCTTCTTGTTTGCTTCAGGCAAGATTGGAAGGGAATGGATGAATTTGTTTCATTTACTCAAGAGCCCAGTTAATTTCTCCTTACCTAATCTCATTTGCTACCAGATTGCTAGATGTTAATATTGTGCTAATATTGTGTTAATATTTCCATCTGTGAAATGAACTCCTGCTCATAAATGAGTCTTCTTTTCTCTGTTAGCTCACAGTCCAAATCCCTTTGGTCCCTTTTTTATGACACAGCAATCATAGCACGGTGATTATTAGTGTAGCTTATGGAGTGCTAATGCTTGAGGGTTTGCGGGATTTTGTAGCAAGCTACTTGCATTGCAGCCTCTGGCTCTGCTCAGTCCTGGGCAGAAGTTGCCATGAAGGCATCGGCTGAAGGTAACCTGCCTGTCCTCTCCTTACAGGTGTGCCAGTTTGTTTTCTCAGTGAATGGTATGTACGTTTTGCATCTGGACTATCAGACCATCAGCAGCCTCATCATGACAGGACCACGGACTCTGGTGATGGAGGTCATGGAAGCCGTTGAGTGAAAGAGTTTCACCCCACCGTTGTTTGGAAAGGCAGGACACTCGACTAAGCAAAGATTGACTGTGGGGAGGGACCAAGCTTGACGTTTCACTCTGAAATGTTAGCCAGGCATTTTAATATATTTTCAAATAAAAATGTTCTAATGGACAAGTCTTGGATTTCGATGGTGTTGAAGTATTTGGCTCTACCTGAGATGGTCTCAGCTCTTGTGGCTCCTTTTTAATGTTGGTGGGAGAGTTCAGCACATCGTGCAACCGAGCCTTAGAACAAGCCATTCACCCGGCCAAGCTCCCAGGCAGGTGGTGCGAGCTGGTAAGCAGCAAGATGTTTGATACCAAGCAAGTAAGTATGTCTGAGCTCCCCTGAGTTGTCTGTGCAGTCTACCGAGAACACAATGTGCTTTCCAGATGGCCTGATAAGCCGTGCCATTGACTCTGTCAAGAAAATAAGGAAATGAATACAGTGATGCATGCTTCCTTGTTGAGAAAGTCTCAGGCTCCTGCTACTCTCTCATGGCTGAGCCATGCTCACAGCCAGGATGGGTTGTTCTTCCCAGTGGAGTTTGTGAAAAGGTGAGGTTTCCATGACTCTGCTTTTTTGTGCCGTCACACTCCAGTAACGCTTAAAGTGATTAACCAGCTTCACCTCGGCATGGAGCCAAGCAGAGATCCCAGACGTCATGGGCTGCTACAACCCAGTGATGGGAGGGAGTGGGGGAAGGAGGAACCCTAAACAGCGTGTGCCCAGAAGAAAATGTGGCGTAGTCTGAGCTGGACTCCAGGAGGGAACAGAAATCAGTGAAAGGCACAAAAATCCACATGCCTTGGCCCTGCTGCTTCCAGCATGGCTGCAATTGCAGGCAATGCAGAATATTCATGTGCAGACTACCCTGAAAGTGAACTGAATATAGAATAACAGGTAATCACAAGAAATTGGGGAGGTTTCTTTATTTCCAGTTTGCAGAGCGTGCGTGTGATCAGTCTGTGATGCTGTGCATAGAGCAGGGTGGTTTCCAGCACTCCCGCTCAGGGCAGGTCCCTCAGTGCAGCTCTTTTGGCCACCAACCAAGTCTTAAAAAAACACCCAAAACCCCTCAAAACTCATTTTGATATGTGTTAAAGTGGAAGCTGACTTTCCTGGAAAATCTGATGTCAGCTGTATATTAGGTATTGCATTACTGCTGACTGCCTTTTTTTCCCTTGGTATAAAGGATATGCGGTCCCCCAGCACCAGTGCAGAGGTAATGGGACTACTTGGAGTGCGGCGTTCCTGGAGCATGGGCCAAGCAAGATGTTTGCATCCGTAATCCACTGGGTTCTTCCAGCCCCTAAGTGAAACCAGACCATCTCCTAAGCCATTTGTCAATATACTTGCAGTTGTTATTCCAAACTATTCAGTGCACAAGCAAAGCAGCATCTATCTGCATTTTTGCCTTTTAAATTCTGGTTTGTGTTGCTGGTCAGGGAGCCCTTGGGTGTCTGTGATGGCTCCAAGGTTTAATCCAGAGTGTTGGGTTTGAATTCAAGGCAGACAAAACCAGGAGACCACTGCATCACATGAGCATCTTGGGAAAGATACCTCAAAAAGCAACAACCTGAACATAAGCACTGGAAGCAGCTCCACGTTTTTCTCACATAAACAGAGCACAAATTTTAGCTTCGTGTCTGAACTTCCCTAAAAGTGAAGTGCAGGAGATCTGTGCTCTTTCCCACCTCCTCCTAGTTTTAGGGTAAACTGTAGCAAATCTGAGCAGACACTAAAATCCA